GGGGGCGAAAAACGTCCTTAAACCGCGGGGGCCGACACTATCCTGTCGTCGTTACGTGTGGAGGATATCAAAACATTATTTATCACGAACATTTCTGCGCGCGTTTTCTGTTTTTCAAGGTGTTTCGTAAAGTAGGTTAGACGTCAGCTAAATTTTGTCTCCTGATATTTATAACCAGAGAAAGCGAAACTATTTTCGATGCTCCATATATTAACCGTTCTTCTGCTTCGGTTGTTTCTGACGAATGGCACGGGTTTTCCGATTTGTACATGTTGTATTTGCTAGTTTGTGTATGTGTTACAGTATCATTAATTACAAATACCAACAATATGAGACTCATTTTTGTCATTAATATGTCATTATTATATATTATCTGTATCGGGGACAATATATTATTTATCAAATAACAACGGAGGAAATTTCCAACGCTTATTTTAATCTTTTTACTGAAAAATTTTACATTTGAAATATAAAGATTTATCAATATGCATCTCATTTATACGCATTATATACACATCGTTATTTATCAGAATTATATTTATGGATAATATTAGTTACGTATAATATTTCTCTATTGTTATTTAATACTGACAATAATTTTAAAAATACCGCTTTTAATATTATACTTGCTACAGTGATGCTTCAGGTATAACGATTTTGTTTGCCAGCATTATGTTTTCTTTAAAGTATGAAGAAAAATACGTCAAAAGCGTTCGTACGAAGCCGTTTTCCGTCCGTTCTCACGACACGTTACAGATGACAGATATGGCGTCGGCGATCCTCCAAGATCCCCGTCCTCGAAAAAACATCTCCTCGAGACAACCGCGAACATCATCACGGCTCTCCGTGGGATGCGAAAAGACCACGGTTGTGCCAGCCATCTAACCACCGATTCCTTTTTTCATGTCTTTTCTAGTCGTTACCAGCGAGCGTTTACTTCCGTATAATATCAGAAACTGAGGCATTTCTTACTTCTCCCTCAGTTTTCTTTCCCTCCTCCCACCTTTCACCCTTCTTTTTCACAATTTTTCCCTCTTCTAAATCCACCGTGCCGCCCGCGCTTTTCTCGTCGCCCTCGAACGCGCGCGCGACGCAATTTATCAGCATGACCCGTATCCGCGGGCACGGCTGCGAACGCGGATTTATCGCAATTATACTCTAGACAAAGGGAGAAGGGAGGAAGGGAAAGGGAACGTGCTTATTCGCTACTCGGCGTCATTTATTCCTCGCGACTTCGCCGTAAAATCCGTGCGACGCCGGTCGCCTAACGACCGGCTCTATATAGCGAAACTGTCAAAGACACTTTTTCGCAGTCCGCTTTGAAATCGAACGCCGCCCGGCACGCCCGCTCGTCCCCGAGAATCGACCTCTGAATTTTCGCCTTATACCTCTTGCCGTCCTTTCAATCACCTGATATCGGTTCCGCCCGTTTTCTCGTTTCGCGCACTGAATACCAGAGCAAGCATCAATCTTGCATCGTTTATATTGACCTTGTATGTTCGTTACATCTCGACGTTGTTGGGTAAAATGTACATTTTGTATCCAATTCCTTCTCATGCAACTCCCTATGTTCCGTGAGTTACAATGCAGGTGAGAAGTTTGCGCTTTTTTAGCTTCTTTACTTACGTCTTGACGGCCGAAACAACTGTTCGTCCATCATCTTTTAACGCATCGATCATTTTGACAAAGTTTTGCTTCGAAAATTTTGTTATCTAGATGAATCTCTTTTATGCCTAGTGCCTTGGAGCTTTTCCAAATCTTATTACGAGTATTATTATTAATTAAACTATTGGACTTTATTTTTTTTATATTAGCTGTGTACTACAATTTATTTTTTATACGCATTATTTCTTGAAATTATATATTGTGTATGTTTATTTATAAGTTTTACTACTTTATTTGAGTAGATATAATGTAAAATTTCTTCACTTTATTATTTTATTATATTATTTTTATTACATTATTATTTTATTATTATATTATTTTTAATACCTTTTATATGTTGCATTTTCATCTATTTCACATGTCCTACTTGTCCACATACAAAGAAAATGACATTGTGTGCATGATCGAGAAATGAGATTTTATATATTTTGCTACTACATAAAGTAAGACATGTTCAAAAGTATTTCATATATATATATATATATATATATATATATATATATATATTTATTTCATATCATTTCATAACGGTTTAACCACAGTTTTTGTTTAATTTTTTGATATTTTTTCCTATTTGTCGAATCGATATGTACGCATGTAAAAAGTTTTTGGCACACTAGTGAGATAAAGCGAGGATATGCATTCGGAAATGATCAAAACTTTTTTTCTATACAAATGGAACTCTAGAAAAGGGAATTTTTAACTTTATTCAAAACTTTTATTCGGGAATTTATTCGAGGTTCTAACGAATCTAACTATATTTTACTTTTGCTACATTATTTTGGAACTAATCAGAATGAAAAATTTTATTTTTTAACAGATATCAATATATATATATATATATGTACGACATTAAAAATAAAAATGATGCTAATAATAAAAAATAAATATAAAGATATTTCAAAAAATTTAATATATTTTTTTTTAATTTTTCGATGAAGAAAATTGTTGTTGCACCACTATTTTTTATTATGCATCATCTATATTATCGAATAAAAGTAAAGTCACATTTAGCAGTAATGCATAACTAGTAATTATCAATACAATAATGATAATAATAAATTTCAATAAGCATTCTTCAAGAATAAGCATAAGAAAAAAATATTAATTTTTCTTAATAATGAATTTTTAATTGCTCTATTGTTCTATTGAAATTGTTTTGTATATCTTAAAAAATAATTTTGACAAGTGTTTTACATGTTTAGTATTTTTATATGGTTTTCAAACTATTGTGCTATACATAATAATTATAATTTTATATAATTTAATAAAATTATTCAATTTGTTGAAGAAGACTTCTATGAAGAAGCAAACGCATTATTGTCAAGTGAAGTAAAAAAAATTAGATTTATGTACCAAACTTTTTACGTTCTTTTTACAGCAACTTACAAGGCATACATAGCTACAAAATGTGATCGTAATGTAATGCTTTTCCTTTTGAATGAATCTTTTTCGACATTTTGATGTCGAAGCATTTTGCTGAACTCGAAGAGTGCTGACTTTGAATAAATCTTTTATATATACTTGTTTAGCAGAGAAATTATTATTATATCTTTTCGTCAGATTTTTCATTTTTAATGTCTTATTTTTAATAATCATTTTTTGTAATTATAAATTAATATTCAAAGTGCTATTATTCATAGATATTTATCATAGCAAGTCAATAAATAATTGTTGCTATTTTAAAATACAAGAATTATCGTTTATTAATTAAGTAGCTTTTACAAAAAGATAAAACGAAAGAATGTTTAAGTTCGTTTTTCGTACGAAATGCATATATCCTTTCGCGAAATTATATCATTATTTCCTTTAAACTTTATACGTTAATAAATTCATTAGGACATTCGTAAATCGTGCGAAACGTAGGCGAGGCGTTTATGAACGTCTTGAAGTCGCGCTGCGAATTTATGTCCCTTGAAAAGTTTGGTCGTTCCGCCAGGGGTATATGGAGCTACGTTAAGCGTCATATTCCGTGACTATGACTGTTCTAGGATCTGAGCGTGTGATATTACGTAAAAGCTTACAGAATCGCATTTTTCGATCGGCTGTTCGTAGGCTACTCGTCGACGAAAATCGGATTTTCGGATTTGCCGGATGTGCACGCTCAAAAGAATTCAACCGTGTTCGTGATCACACGCTAGCAGACGGACGATAGTGGACGTACAATTTCAATATTTACTTTATTTCCCACACACGCGAAAGAGCGACAATATATTGCGACGTAAATGGACCAGTAAAGGTCCAAAAAAGCGAGTTTTCAACGCGTTTTAAGCATTTTAACGCTGCGTTAGATCATCTCCAGTTAGGAACAGAAACGGCATTCGCGAAATGTTGTATAAGTGAAAAAATTTCGATTCAACGGAGTAGAATGATTATATGGAACGTTTCTAAAAATCTTTTAAACTAAAAAATAGATAAAACTGACAATATTTTTGTGATTGATAATATATTTCTAGATCAAAATTAATAGTAGTAGTTGATTATTCATTTTTGATTAAACTTTTTCTACTTCGGTATTAATTGCGTTTTTATATGTACATATACATATACAAAAGCTTATGTAAATATAAATAAGAAAAATTATAACAAGAAAAAAAGAAATATTTATAATTAAATAACAAGATATTTATAACAATACAAGTAATGTAAAAAATTTTACAAGTAGCTTATACAAGTAATGTAAAAAATTTTATAAATTTTATAAATAAAAAAATTTACAAGAAACATATTTTATATATGTAATATAAAATTATTAATTATAAATATTATATCAAATATCTCAAAATAAGATTTAGAATATTTTATTATAAACAAAAAATGTACGAAACATATTTTCTCTATATCCATATAAAATTATTAATTATAAATATTTTATCAAATATTTAAAAATAAGATTTAGAATATTTTATAAACGTTTTTTATAGTAAATAAAAGTGACAATATATTTCGACATTAGTATGTCAAAATTAGCGTCGTAATTCATTTTTGATTATTTTTTTTGTTTCGGTATTAATTTTGCTTTTATATGTGCACGTACATATGTAAAAGTTTACGTAAATTATAATAAGAAAATTGAAATTTATAATTCTTATATGAATAATCAAAAGGATTTTATAAATCTTATAAATAAAAGAAATATGCAAAACATATATATTTTATAGATTTACACAAAATTATTAATTAGAAATATTTTATCAAACACTCCAAAATAAGCTTTAGAATATTTTATAAATATTATAAAATATATGTAGTACAAAACACGAGCCACTATAGCGCGAATATCAGCGAGAAGTTAATTTTACAAATAATAAATTAACGTATTATTAACTACTCACTCGATAGTTGCTTTGCTGACTCTTCGATGCTTCCTCTTTTCCCCTTGCATTGCCCATCTTTTGCTGCTTTCATATACATATACACAGGATGTGTTTGTCCTTTTCAGAGCTCATCAATACTCACTCGCGAAAACAATTAATTACGATCACGCACGCACTAATTACTACAATATCACGATCGCCTGGCATTTTACACGTGGAGCACTTAATATAGTCAATCACGCACGAAATATATTTTACCTTATATTGCGCGTTGAGAGACTGAGACAAATCTTACGATTACGCGCAAAAAATAGTGACGCGCTAATCACATGACGCGCTACGTCACTAACTTGGTATGCGGCGTGCGGAGTGGGGATGCGTGCGCGTCTCGCTACGCAACACAAGCACAGAAAGAAGACACGGAGGACGACGCGCACGAAGACAGATTATTATTATTCGATTAACGTTCGTACATGTAAGACGTGTTATTCGTGTATGTTATTTATCGATGAAATTTCTGGCAACGTTTCGTAATTTTTGACACAATTTTTCTCTTTTGAAACTAATTTTACTTTACGTACTATCGTATATAACTATAAATTGTATATAACTATAACTATATATAACTAATCTATTCGAGATCCGATCGGAAAATCGCGAGATCGAATTCGCACAATGCTTGATACGCGATACTTGAGAAAATTCGTAATAAAATTTAATAATACGTGTTAACTAATAATCGCCTACGAAATGATCGCGTCTCCTGCATACGTGTCGTATTTCGAGATGCCACACATAGGTGGCATTGCATAAAGAACGCCATATTAGTTTGATGACAAGATCTTTGAATTTTGCAACATATGATGTATGAATTTCGTCGCGCAGTATGCCAGTGGTGAGCGGATTATGTGACTATAATTATATTTTCTGGATGTAACATAAAATAAAGTATGTGACTAATATGTCGGGAGTGCTCCGTAAAGTGTCGGGCGATCGTAATTAATCCTTTTCGCGAGTGAGTGTTGGTGAGCTCTGAAAAGGACAAACACATCCACATCCGAAAAGAAGAAGAAATCCGAGGAGCGACATCATACAACGACAGGGAACTTCAGAAAAGTGAGTAATTTAACTCTATGTTAATTTATTAATTAATATTCTTAAAAATAATTATGCTGATATCTTTGCAATAGAATTTTCTTTATCATTATGCAATGTTAAAGTTAGGTTAAAATATTGTAGATTTTATTTTCAAATATTTAATAAGAAATTTATGACACTAATAATATATATTATATAGATAACATTTTATCTAACGATAAAATTTGGCAAGAGCGAAGACGCGGTAAATTCAAATGCAGAAAAGAGAAACTTTTTTCTTTTTAAGAATTATTATATTCCAAATTGCATACATTTATTCAATTTTATTAAAATATATACATTAAGTACGTATTTTTTTAAATTTTTTAATGAAATTAAATATAATTTAGAAAATATATTACATATGGCAATTTACACATAGCATTTAATATAATTAATCGCACATGAAGTATATTTTATTTTATATTGGGTTAGATGTATAAAATCTTATGATTATATGTATGAAATAGCGTCTTTATTTATTATTGTTAACAGTATATCAATATAACGTAGTGCAACGCGTAGAGAGACGAAAAGATTATTATTATTCGATTAATATTCGTAATAATTGTGTCTTGGCTCTTGACAATTTTGTCAGAATAATTACTTTTAATTTGTAAATTTTGATTTTTGAATTAAAATAAATTTTTTATTAAATATTTGTTTAAATAGACAAATTATAATTTAATTGTGTGTAATAATTATTTTTGGGAATATTAATTACCTTGAACATTTTATATAATTTGCATGAATTTATATTTTAAAAATCAATATATATTCTACGATTCTATCGAGCATCATATCAGTAAATATTAAATTGTTTTTTATTTTAATTTTTAATTTTGAGATTTAATTTATTTGAGATTTAATTTTTGAGTTTTATTTTAATTTTGAGATAATCTGGAGCATTTAGTAATTAATTATATCACAGAGAGATATCCAGTATAAATAAAATTATAAAATTACAGTAATGCGATATTTAAATCATGTGAAAATATTTAAATTGTTTATATTTTAAATAGTAGTATTTAAATTAAGAATATAGAATGCCAATCCTAAATAATTTGTTTACGAGGTATGATTCTCATTTACGGTAAGATTAATGATAAATGTATTTATTATTTTTATGTATTTATTATTTTTGATTATAAAAAATCGAATTCCGATGTATGACATAATTTGAGCTATTTTGATTTTATTAAAACGTTTTTTAAATTAATTGCTCTCAAGATATACCACTTTTGAAATTAATGCTTACATAATAAATTTTTTTATTATTTTTTATTTTTTTCGGGAATAATATATTTAGAATTATATAGGATGTATTAGGATATAATAGGAGATATATTAATTCGAAAAATAATTTGACATCAATCTTAATACTTCTTATTTTTGATCATTTAATTGATGTAATGATTATATAATATTTCTGTGTGTTATATTTACATATTTATAAGATTATAGTTACATAATATTCCATATAAATTTATTTATAAAAATTAAATATTTCTTTAAGCATTAAATGAACAATTAATTCTGGTATATTTCCATTTTATATAGAATTTGCTACAATTTTGGATAATTGGAGTACTAACATAATATCAACATTCCTATCTTTCATATCAATTTCCTATTAATTGGGAAAAGCAATAAATTTGAAATTAGAGCAATAAATTTGCAGTAAATTAGCATTTAATTATGTCATACATTCGAATTATTTTTTCGTGATGGGGAGATGCAAGGAGATAGAGTTAGTATTTGCACGATGACAATCAGTGAGACGAGAATGAACTCGACCGATTCATAATTCAGCTGTATTCTGTGAAAATGGCGTGCATACGTTTGGAGACATTGTTGTCGTAACGCGACGTCCTTCTGCACTTCTCTGTCCGTTCTATAACAGGAGTCTGAAAAGCGAATAGGAAGCTGCACTCTCGAGTTCATTTCCGCTCCATCTCTTTGGCGTAAACGCGACGATCGTGCTGTCGCATCAAAAAACATCATAAAGTCGGTGCATGTACTCGTTTCAACTAACCAACTCTTTCTGTCAACTCTGCTGGGTGGTTCTTTCCAACACCTATGGGCAAGTGACCGGATCTGTTCGATTTTTCTACCCTACTTTCTTTCTCTTCTCTCTCTCTCTTTTTCTCTTTCTCTTTCTCTCTCTCTCTCTTTTTTATGCCCTTGTAATTATTCATAATCCCTTGACGCGCGCACCTCTTCGGATGCACTCGAATCTAATGTTAATCAACGGCGAATCCATTGGCCAAATTTTGATTTATTAAATTTTTACGATTCTCGATGAATATATCAAGCATTGTCTAAAACATTATATTTATTATCGATATAAATGCAAAAAAATGCAAAAAATATATATAAGGGATAATGATGTTGCGAGAGTTCTTTCGTGCACGATGAGAATAGAGAACCGGAAGATTCAATCGATATCCTCGTCTCACGTCGCTGTTATAGTATCTTTTCTGCGCGTTATAACATTTTCCGTTATCACATTTTCTCTGCGATAAGAGCAGAGAAAATAATTCTTAACAATTTTTGTTCGAAAAGAGATTTGTAGCAATTTTTTTTTATTCTTTTTTTCTCTATATTAGATATATTTTCGCTTAGATTTCGCTTTTCTTTTTAAATGAATTTTTACATAAGAATACTACATTTCAATAAAACAATAAAAATACAAATTAAGTATAATTTAATTTATAATAAACTCATGTAAACGCTTATCGCGTACAAATTTAATTGCGCTTAATAAATTTTGCATTTCACGAATTACCTCCATCATCTTATCGCATTTGCGTAGTAATTTTACGGTGCTTTCAAATTTTCATACTCATGCGACCTTATTTCGTGTGATTTGCTCACTGATTGGAGATTGAATCTTTGACAAAGTTCATCAATGCCTCAGATGCTAAATGTTGCGCATTCGCCACAAATTATTAATAGCTCATTTCCGAAACTGTATTAGGTTCGAATTAGCTATGCCCCACTTTCTCTTCTATCATTTATCGGTGTTGAATTTTAGGTATGTAGAATACATAAGTGTGTATGTGTGTATTAGATTTTGAAATCTCTATGTTTTTTAGAGTATTTAATTGCTTTCATCGATATTATCTGACACATAAATATAATGTTTATTACGTTTCAATTCAGTAAACGTTTCTCATAATCTTTTCGTCGATTTTCGTGTATTGTGAATAAAAATTAAATTTTACTCACTATTATAAAAAGTTATATATACGTATATACATATACATACCTACATATATTGTATATAGAAAGAAATTTTATTTACAGAAAATGTGAAAAGTAATTGAAAATTAGACTATTATACATTGACTTTTGAAAATTGACTATTAATATTGACTTTTTTTATATATTTTTTTTTACTTTAATATGCATTGTATTATAAATATTAAATTTTCTGTTAGAGATTAAAATTTTAGTATAAGTATTAAAAGTAAACTACTCAAACATAGTATATTCAAGCAATTCCAACTTTACAAATTTTTGATGTATATGCAAAATAATGGCCAAATGCATTGTGTATGTAATAAATCCCATTTCATAACATATAATTTCATATAATTAACATATAATTTCACAGAATTCACTTTGATGTCAAATGCAATTTAGAAAGCTTATTATTATACATACATATCACTGCCAATATATTCTCAATAATAAATATCTCATCAGTTTAGGGTCGTTAGTTAATAAATTAAATAAAATCAATTATATTTTTTTTGCAAACATTTGTTTTTTTATTATTTTATACGAAAGAGAAAGAGATTAGAAATAGGTAGTTAATATTAACAGCCACCTTAAAGATATCATTGTACATCCACATTTTGAAATGCAGTAATAACTTTGTAAGGCAGTACGTAATCGTGTGACTCTTGCCGCAGCACGGATAAAATGCAAATGCGATGCAAATGCGGTGGAGTATGCTAATACGCGCAAACGTTTAAAAATAGCGAGAGTACCTCATTAAAAGCGCGATTACATTCGAGGGCTTCTAGGATTTTATAAACGTCCCGCCCCCGGTGGTTTCGGCACCAACCACCCGTGTTAAATCGTTAATAATTTAATATTCTCGTAACAACCCTTGTGCCGAATTGTA